GTGTTACACCGAGGGCAGTTTCTGGGCACAGGGGATCGTGGCAGGATCCGTGTTTGGCCCATGGTGTTTGTCCCTCGTGCTCATCGGCGCTATCGACGACCTCTACATAGCGAACCCGAGGGCCGACATGTGCCCCTACTTCGACGACCTCGCGGCGTCGACCAGGGGCGACGTGGCCGCCGTGGCAGCGCTCCACATGAAGCTGACTGACGAGATCGTCTTCGCCCTCGAGCAGGTGCTCAAGCTGCAGGTCTCGAGAGGCAGAGACGGCAAGACCGCAGTCGCAGTCTCGCATGGCAAGGTGGGGCGGCAGCTGGGCAGCCAGAACAAGCAGATGGGCATCCAGGTGGTGCGTGAAGCTGTGCACTTGGGCGTGACCCAATCAGCTGCGCGGCGACGACGTGTCGGAGCCCAGTCCAGGAGGATCATCAAGGCCAAGGCCAGGAGCTGGAAGATCCAGAGGGTCAAGGCCGCAGGAGGTGCAGCGCAGAAGGTGGTCAGGCTCGGGATCGTGCCGTCGGAGCTCTACGGCGCGCGCGTGCAGGGCGCCACGGACACGCTGATCACCGCGCTCAGGCAGACTGTGGCAGCGGCCTTCCCTGGATGCAACAAGGGAAGGTCGGCCGCGCTGGCGCTGCTGGCAGAGGACGCGGACCCTGCCGTGGTCGCCAACGCGGGGCCCGTCGTGGAGTGGGCCAGGGCGTGGCAGGAGGCGACGGACATGGCCACGCGGGACCTCCTGGTGGCGAGCTGGCGCACGTGGGTCATGCGACTCCACGGGCATCCGAGGCCGTGGGGCCTAGTGAGAGGACCAGCAGGCGCTTTCATTGCGACTGTAATTCGCCTCGGCTGGAGCCCCCAGAGCCCAGCAACAGTCACATGCGGGGCAGAGGTGCATGATTTGGCTCAGATCGATTTGTACTACCTCCACTCCCTCGTGCGCCAGGCCGCACATTCTGGGCTTCAGAGCTGCTGGCTTGCGCGTTGGGGTCCCGAGGTGAATGTCTCTAAGAGCGTCTTTCTGGAGCCGATTAGGATGTTGCTCCGCAGGCCCCTGTCTGAAAAGTGGACTGTTGAGCACCGCGCGCGGCCCGAACCTTGTTTGCGGGAGGCACGTGGCCCCGCCAGAGAATTTTTAGGGCTGGTCGTGCGACGACCGACCAGTGCCAGGCATGCATGAGTGCTGTTGGAACGGACTTGCACCGCACGTATGTATGCAGCGCGCGTGATGCGATGCGCAGGCGTGTAGGTGGCAGGCACGTGCAGCACAGAGTAGCTAACCCGTTCCCAGGCTTCGAGTCACTCTGGGCCAGAGGTATCTCCGAGGACCCAGTTGAGCTCCTGGATGTTCTGCCAGTCTCGTTCGAGGTCCAGCATGAAGGCGAACATCCAGGAGCCATCACAGGAGAGGTTTTCACAGATGGATCTCTCTTGTACGGTGAATGTATTCCTCTTCGGCGCGCGGGGTGGAGCTTCGCCACCCTCGATGCCTCGGGGGAGAGCCTTGCTTTTTCAGCGTTCGGCCCCCTCCCCCTGCCACAAAATCGGCAAGGGATATACCCGTCCGAACTGTGCGCCATCCTCCAGGTGCTGCGGTGCGCGATGCCGCCCCTCAAAATCTAGTGTGACTGTCAGGCTGTAGTAGACGGAACTTCCAGAGGGGAAGAGTGGTGCGCGTCGCCTGCCAGGGCTCACAGTGATCTCTGGCGAGAGTTTTGGTTTCTGGTAAACGATCTTGGAGGGCTGGGCCCCAGGACCATCCAGATATTAAAAATATATTAAAAATAAAGGCCCACGCCACTCGAGCCCAGCGGCGAGAGATAGGCAAGAGACTGTTCAGAGGCAACCGCTTCGCGGATGAATACGCGAAGAAAGGGGGCTAAGTTGTGTGCGCACCCTTTCTGGCAGCGGCAGGCCTATCAGCAGAAGTATAGCATGGCATCAGATGCCTTAGAATTTGCTGTTAGGCTCGGCGCCACGTCGTCCGACGTCGTCGATACGATCACCGATGTCGAACCGAGTAGCATCAGAGGACCAGCCCCGAGCCAGGCCGCCGAGTCGAATCCTGCTCCTCCTCTGATGCCTCCCCCTTCCCCGTCTGTGGGCCCCAGGGACCAGGGAGATCCCAGGGCCCCCAACCAGACTCAGAGCGAGCCGTCGGGCGCAGAATCTGTCGAATTCGAAGCCCGACAAGCACGCATTCGCAAGGCACAGGGGCTAGGACACCACCTTGTGTTTCGCCCCAATTTTGTTTTCTGCAGGCGATGCGCTTCCTACGCTCAGTGTAAGTGGACGAACCTAGTGAAGGAGGGCTGCAAGCCCGCCCGAGCTCGGACGGCCAAGGGTCGACTGACGCGTTTGTGGGAGGGCCGCCATCCATCCACAGGGAAGCCCTTGTAAGTAATAACTTACACGGCGAAGGCGGCTTGCGTGGTGCTCTCCATCTGCGTGAGTCCTAACTAGCACAATCCTAGCACAATCCTCCTCCTCCTCCTCCTCCTCCTCCTCCTCCGCCTCCTCCCCCCCTCCAGTCGATGCCCGCTTGCCCGGGATGGCATGAGCTGCTTTATGGGCAGGATGCGCGACCGTGTAGAGTGAGTGCAACAAGGCTTCAGGGAGGGGGGCGGGCAGTCCCTGCCTCGGCGGGGGAGCCTGGCCCGAGCGGCCCCCGGGCGAAAAATCTCGGTGAGCCCCAGCCCCGAGCGGTGCGGCCACGGCGTGGCGGCGGGCGGCGGCCGCGGACGGGGCGGCCACGCGGTGGCGACGGGCGGCCGCCCCGCGGAAGCCCCGCGGAGCCCCCGCCCGCGCGCGGGGCGGCCACCGGGCGAAGAAGGCCTCGGAGTAGGCCCGCGGCACCGCGCGCGGGGGCCCGCCAGCGAGCGCGGCGGCGAGGAGGCCCCCCCGCGGAGGCCCCCCGAGCGGCGGCGGCCGGCGGCGACCGGCGGCCAGAGGAGGGAGAGGTAATCATCAGGGGCGGCGAAGAGGGGGGTGATGACTAGGAGCGTCCTGGAGGCCATCTTGGCCGTCCTGGAGGCGTCTTGGGACCGTCTTGGATGGCCATCTTCGTTGCCTTTGTGTGCGGCGCTGGTTCGACGCGGCCAAGTCCGGCCGGGCTTGCTTTCGGGAGCGGAAAAGAGGGGGGTGATGACTAGGGGGGGGTGGATATCATGGCGGGGGCCATGATTTTTCCTCACATGTCATGGCGCCTCTTCCCATCTCATTGCGTCCCAGGCCCCCCCCCGCTGGGCCTCACACGTGCCGCCGGTCATGATTTGCACCCCCCCTCTTGGACACCCCCCTCTTGGCCGCTCCCGAGCCGGGCGAAGCCCGAGGCCGAAGCAGCTGGCGCACGGGGCGGCGGCGACCGGCGGCGACTGGCGGCCAGAGGCTTGGCATCGCTCGGACGTGTGCGTTTTTTCCTCGGCGAGGGCCGTCGAGGAGCATCCTTGATCATTTGGCGAAGAAAACGCGCACGAAACCAAACAAAACACAGGGAATGGACGTCCGAGCGATGGCCAGGGGGAGGAAGAGGTAATCACCCATACTGGTACCCTTCCCTCGTCTTCTCCTCTTGGGGGCCTCCCGGGAGGCCCTCGGCGCCAGCGCTGGAGTCGCCTCGAGGTGTTGGTCAGGGCGCGCCCCTGGAGAGGTCCGGGGAGTAACGGTATCGGCACCTTTTTGGTTTCCCCAACCCACCTATCGACTCTCAAGGGGGACGCCTCAGTGCAAGCATCGTTTGGGGCATTGTGATCCGGGTGTGCATATCTATATATATACACACATACATACATACATACATACAATATGCTTCCAGGTCTACGCATTTATACGATATACATCTATAAACATTTTTGTGCATATATATATACACATACGCACGTGGGAATCGAATATCACGTGTTGCTCGACCTGGCAGCGGAGCCGCGATCCAGAAGTTTCGTATTCGTGGTGGTCATTTTTTTTTTGTCATGCTTCTTGCAGCAACGCAGCAACGTCATTCAGAGAAAGACTGGATATGTGTGCGCCATGAGAGCGGGCGATGTTGTGAATGTTGCCAGCCATTGCGTTTTCGTGGGATGACCTCGACCGACAATGGAATACGTCTTTAGCGACGTGCGCTTCTCGTCTTCAGTCGCAGCTACGACAGCAAAAGCAGTAGTGCCGCCTTCTCCGCGACACCTGTTTATGACCGTTTTTGCGTGGCACCATTGTGACGAGCGACTTATTCGGCGGCGAGCAGGGGGAGGAAAATAGGAAGGAGAAGGCCTTCTCAGAAGGCTTGGAAGTCCCCCGGCCTTCTGAGAAAATTCTTCAGCCTTCCCCGAAGACACAGAAAATCTCTCAGAAAGCGCGGTGGCTTCTGAGAAGCCCCGCCGCCTTCTGAGAAAGCCTTCTCCTTCTCACTTCCCCCCTCGCTCGCCGCCGAGTTATGACGACCAGGTGACGACACTGCCGACCGTGTCACCGTCTGACACCACCAGGAGAGGAGGACTCAGGGGGGCTCGAAGGTGACGGGGAGCAAGAGCGTGTCTCCAGCCCCCCTCCCAGACCTCGTGCTCCGGACCCCTCCTGAGGACCTGTGCAAGCTGCCCCAGCTGGCCAATCCCCCTCTCGGCGGCGAGCGAGGGGGGGAAGTGAGAAGGAGAAGGCCTTCTCAGAAGGCGGCGGGGCTTCTCGGAAGCCCTGCGGCCTTCCGAGAGGTTTTCCCCGCGTCTTCGGGAAAGGCCGAGAAGCTTCTCAGAAGGCCAGGGGGCCTCCTGAGAAGGCCCGCCCCTCCTCGCTGCCCCCCCGGGATCGCCGCCGAACCTCTTGCTCCCGACCCCTCCACCTGGCAAGCTGTCCAAGCGAGGCCCCGAGAACAACCGAAGCCAAATCTACAGTCAAGACGTTGAAATAAAAACCGCCTTGGGTTCAGGAGCGGCTCTGGTTTTCAAGGCGCTCCTTAGGAAGGACCTACTCGTGGCCGAGACTCGCCTTCGCCCCCAAAAAAAAACACCGAGGACCTGTACAAGCTGCCCTACCTGGCCAATCCCCCCCACCTCGCCGTGGAGCTGGAGCCCGCCACCGAGCTCATGGACTAGAGCTGCGAGGGGGGCCTGCGGCGCGCGAGCGGAGGTGTTTCGGGCCGAAGGCTCGCGGTGGGGGCAGGTTTCCGCGGAGGGGGTGGACAGCATGCCTTCCTCCTCCTCCTCCTCCTCCTCCTCCTCCTCCTCTTTATCCTCCTCTTTATCCTCCTCCTCCTCCTCCTCCTCCTCCTCCTCCTCCTCTTCCTCCCCCTCCTCGTCCTCCTCCTCCTCCTCCTCCTCCTCCTCCTCCTCCTCCTCCTCCTCCTCCTCCCCCTCCTCTTCCTCCTCCTCCTCCTCTTCCTCCTCATCCTTCACGTTTCGTGGTCGGGGACGCAGCTGTTATTCTGCAGAGTGGCGGCGGCAGGGCGAAGATAACCACCCTTCGCGCTTCGCGAAGGTAGGTGGCCTACCGAGGTGGGGGCGGGGGAGGTGGTTGCAGAGGTATACTGGGGTGATCGGAGAGAGAGCCGGCGTATCAGGAGGAAGGACGGACAGAGAAGGGATGAGAGGAGACGTACCTGAAGGAAGAAGGAAAGCGAAGGGAGAAGGGAAGAGGAGGGAGGAAGAGGAGGAGAGGGAGGAGGAGGAGGAGGAGGAGGAGGAGAGGAGGAGGAGAGGAGGAGGAGGAGGGAGGAGGAGGGAGGAGGAGGAGGAGGAGGAGGAGGAGGAGGAGGAGGAGGAGGAGGAGGAGGAGGAGGAGGAGAGGAGGAGGAGGAGGAGGAGGAGGAGGGAGGAGGAGGAGGAGGAGGAGGAGGAGGAGGAGGAGGAGGAGGAGGAGGAGGAGGAGGAGGAGGAGGAGGAGGAGAGGAGGAGGAGGAGGAGGAGGAGGAGGAGGAGGAGGAGGAGGAGGAGGAGGAGGAGGAGGAGGAGGAGGAGGAGGAGGAGGAGGAGGAGGAGGAGGAGGAGGAGGAGGAGGAGGAGGAGGAGGAGGAGGAGGAGGAGGAGGAGGAGGAGGAGGAGGAGGAGGAGGAGGAGGAGGAGGAGGAGGAGGAGGAGGAGGAGGAGGAGGAGGAGGAGGAGGAGGAGGAGAGGAGGAGGAGGAGGAGGAGGAGGAGGAGGAGGAGGAGGAGAGAAGAAGAGAGAAGAAGAGGAGGAGGAGGAGGAGGAGGGAGGAGGAGGAGGAGGAGGAGAGGGAGGAGGAGGAGGAGGATGAGGATGATGATGATGAGGAGGAGGAGGAGAGGAGGAGGAGGAGGAGGATGATGAGAGGTAGCAGGGAGGAGGGAGGGAAGAGAGGCGGAGGGAGAGGGAGGAGGAGGAGGAGGAGGAGGAGGAGGAGGAGGAGGAGGAGGAGGAGGAGGGAGGAAGAGGAGGAGGAGGAGGAGGAGGAGGCGGAGGCGGAGGAGGAGGAGGAGGAGGAGGAGGAGGAGGAGGACCAGCACTCAGATTGGCAGAGTAGGGTTTGGTAACCGACGTGCTGACTATCGCACAGTCGACGCCGACGCTTGCTCACTGTGCGCCTGCATCACTGTTGTTGTGATGTTGGCCGCTTTCTTGGGGTACTTGCCCCACTGCGCACGCTCAAGTTGGAGCTTAGCTCCGGTGTGCGGGGTCGAAGCTGAATCACATCGACGTTGCAGGCTTCATGACCCACACACGGCACTTGAGGCGCAGGCGTGGCAGACCAGTAATTTTGCCTGCTCCGGATGTTCATAGTAGAACATGTCGCGGCATTCGGGACCCTCACAAATGTCAGAGAGCGGCTCGTGGTTGCCTGGGCAAGATGATTCGAAAGAGCGTTCGGTCTACGTTTTAGCGCAGCGAAACCGGATGTGACAGGTGGTGGTGCAGCGCCTCGAGCCGTTGGCGATTGCCCAGACATGAACTCGGCATCGCTCGGCCGCGTGCGTTCTTGTTCTCCCGGCCAGGGCCACCGAGGAACATCCCAGATCATCGGGCAAAAGCGAGCACGCGCGAAGTCGAAGCATGCCCGGGGGAATGGGACGTCCGAGCGCTGGCAAGTGGAGCCCCCGAGCCTCACGAGGGCCCTCGATGGCGGGAGCGCGGGGGGGCGGAGGAGCGGGGCCAGGGAGGGGGCGCGGAGTTGGAGCCTCCGAGGGCCCCCCGCGAGGCCTTGGGCGAGGCAGCCCCCGACGGAGGGGAGAGGAGGCGATCGTTGTTTGATTCTTTGCCGGTCGGCGCGGGCCCTCGCAGCCTCCTCCTCCTCCTCCTCCTCCTCCTCCTCCTCCTCCTCCTCCTCCTCCTCCTCCTCCTCCTCCTCCTCCTCTCCTCCTCCTCCTCCTCCTCCTCTGCCTCCTCCTCCCTCCTCCTCCTCCTCCTCCTCCTCCTCCCTCCTCCTCCTCTCTCCTCCTCCTCCTCTCCTCCTTCCTCCTCCTCCTCCTCCTCCCCCCCCTCCATGGAGTAGATCTTTGCTGTTTGGGGCGCCTGCTTCAAGCATGTGGAGTCTCCCCCAGGGGACGCACGGTTCCAAGCAGTCGCACTAAGCAGAGGTCTGGAGCCAGACGCCGCCCCCCCCCCCCCCTCCGCTCCATGTCGAAACGCCGAATAAGAGGACGCTCACGAGGCCCTTCTCAGACGTGTGCATTTTGCTCCTCGGCGTTGACCATCGAGGAGCATTCATTTGGGGCCACCTTGCGAACACATGCGCGCACGAAAGCGACAAATGCGCGGAGAGTGGACGTCCGACGTCCGAGCGATGGCGAGCGCCTTGCTGCGAGGCGGGGCTGTGGCGGGCTGCTCTCCAAGGGCCGTCGCAGCATAGGAATGGTACTTTCTCAAACATTGGCGTCTTGCTGTGGGCACGCCAGCTCGGCAACACCGGGTTGCATGCCCGCCACAGCAGCGGTCTTGGCAACGCGGTCCGCCGCGTCGCTGCCTGTCGCCATTCGTCGCCGGTCGCTCTCAGAGTCCTCCTTCATTTTTCGTCCGGTTTTCATGTTCATGTCGTCCTGTTCGATTCGTCTGGTTCGATTCGTCCTGTTCGATTCGACCGGTTTCAATCCGTCTGGTTTTGATTCGCTCGGTTTCAGTGCGCCCGCTCGAAACGCCCGCGCCAGTCCGTCCCACGCGCGTTTCGAGCGGTTTTCGATTCGTCCTTGCCGTAATTCGTCGGGTTCTTATTCGTCCAGTTTCACTTCGTCTGGTTTCAGTTCGTCTTGTTTCAATTCGTCTAGTTTCATTTCGTCCGTTGTCAATTCGTCCTGTTTAATCCGTTCGGTACGATTCGTCCTGTTTGATTCGTCTGTTATTCATTTCGTCCAGTTTCAAAATGTTTCAACTTGTCTGGTTTCACGTCGTCCGGTTCCAATTCGTCCGCTGTTCATTTCGTCCAGCTTTAATTCGTTTGGTTTCAATTTGTCTTGTTTCAATTCGCTCGGCGGCGCATTGGGCGTATTGCGACTGGAACCTTTTGATTTTTCTGATAGAATACACATAGTATTTGATTGCAGTTGGTACCATCATGTGCTAGCGCTCAGCTGCTCCTAGAGTGCACCTGGTCCTGCAGTACAACTAGTCTTATACAATTACGCTTGATCCTTTTGAGGAAACATGATAGGCTCGTGCACCATAGGATCGCGACTTGGGAGCACGGAAGCATAAATAGAATCGCGATAAAGGAATCAGGAGACAGTATACAATGTAGATCTCGGAAATAGGACTCACAGTAGCGTGCAAGTCATACTAGTATAACTCCCTAGTACGCTCACTCTTAGAGTGATGCTCCATTACATTCACAATCTGGGCTCTCGCACTTTTCCTCTGGTTGCACTGGGGTGGGGGTGGGACCCCTCTCGCCAGCACCCCTGCGGCTGAGAGTTCACTCCTTCCAGAATTTCAGGCCGGGGTAATCCGCGTGCCCGAACCCCTCGCGAAGGATTTCTTCCTCTCTTCCGCGGAGACCGGACCCTCTGGGTTCCTCGGCGCGCCTTGGGAATGCTTTCCTTCCAGATGGCCCCCCACGGGTCCTACGTTGGAGTCGCCTGGGTGATCTCAATTCGTTTGGTTTCAATTCGTTTGGTTTCTGTTCGTCCGGTTTCATTTCGTCCGGTTTCATGCCGCCTCCGCCCCGCACGTTTCATCAGTCTTGGCAGTCGCTGCTGGACTGGGGTGACCGTCGGACCCAAGATTTCGTTGTCGATTTTTGTTGGCGGGCACCGTTCAACCCTTCAGGGCAGCCCAGCGCTGTCCAATTTGGCGCGGCGGTTGCATGCGGTTACACGACGACGGCGGTTGCGCGAATGGAGCATGTTTGAAACCATTACTGTTCGCGCGAGGTGAAACTAAAGCAGAGTGGATCTGAACGCGAAATGTAAGACCACGTTTGTGATCGCTTTGAACAAATTCCCCCTGCATCGCAAAGGTATGTTTACGTTGTTTGAATAGATCCGTTTCCTCGTTTACGTTTTGTCGGTTTAAATTGTTCGGTTAGTTCATTGTTTTGAGCTTTTGGTCGAAATAGACCGTGCGGTCAGTCAATCGAGTTTCGGCCGTTGTCAAAATTTCGCAAACGGGGTGTTACCGGTTGAACCGAGATGTCGTTGTTATTTCCAAGGAGTGGTTACCCTTGAAGACTAGATGTATGTTGTCGTTGTTTTTCTTCCACAATCGGTTTCACAAGAGTGTGCCGGGAGTGATCACGTTTCGAGCGGACGCAACGCTGGAAGACGAAACGAAAGAGGACTAAACGACAGAGGACGACACGAAAGCGGACGAAACGAAAGTGGATGAAAAGAACGAGGACGAAACGAGAAAGGACGAAACGCGAGAAGACGGCACGAAGTCGGGCACGACGAAAGAGGACAGCGAGACAGGACGAAGCGGAAGCGGACGAATCGAAACAGAGCGCAGCGAAAGAGGGCCAGCACGACGACGAGTGAGACAAAACAACACACACGAACCGCCACACGACGAAGAAGGCCCGCGCATATTCATCGGATCGGCGCTGGACGCGCGCCCCTCGCCTCTGGCGCCGCCCCCTCGGCGCGCTCCTCCACGCGCCGGGGGAGAGGAGCCCGGCGCCGATACGCGACAAGGCAGCGCGGCCCTCA